ATAATAATGCACTCTACGACCCGCAGGTAGACTGCGTATGCCCGCAGACAGCGCGCGACCCGTACAAGAAGCGTCAGCGACCCACGTTTTTCGTGCGCGACCCGCATTCCCAGTATGACCTAATAGTGTGCTCCACGTATTCCTCACGACCTGCAGCGCCCATGGGGGAGTTGTTCGTGCGACCAGAGCCAATCACGCATGAAGTCTCGATGCCTCAACCGCAGACCTTTGCAGCCAAGACGACAGCGCAGTAGACCCGAGTCTGCCTGAACAGCACCAACCCAGTCCACAAGCAGCGCACCAGACCCGATCCAGCCCAGCCCAGTAGCGGTCCAAACCAGTCCACATTGACCCCGGAGCAGCTCGACCAAGCAACTGGATGTGCGGGATGGTCCGACGGGCCCGACAATCAACCGAAGACGTGAGACGCTGGTCAGTGATGGCAAGGACAAGTCTGGCAACCCAACAGACTCTGAGGTTCAGACGATCTCCAACAGCGAAAATCAGAAACGTCTCAGAATAGGCAAAAAAAATTTAATTCGTAAATCCTGATCTTAACCATAGATTCCATTGCGTTAGATTTATATTGAATAGATTTGAATGTGTACATTGACGATGTTCTTTATAGAACCCAAGACTATCATCATCCTCGTCTCGGTCCTCTTTCTCCAACGAATCCTCTCGACACCTTCTTTTTCTCCTTATTCTTTTTTCTGTCTTGGTATACAAACTCCTTCAAGTGACCAGCTCGAATCAACCTCTCGATTTCGTCCTTCAAGTGCCTGCAGTTTTCTGTCGTATGGTGGTAGTCCTTGTGTAACCTGCAATATCTATTTGATTTCGGCTGTGTCGGCCCATCCTCCATTAACTTTGGCCGTGTGACTGCACGACTGTTTATCCTCCGCTTGATTGTCTCAAACACCTCTGCCATTTGAGTTGTAGTGGAATGTACTTTCCATTATATGACCATCTTTTAGTGGTCGATCCTGCTATCGGTCCTCTCTCGTCCTCTCCGACCTATCCTACCTGTCACTTTTGGGTGAAAAGACCCTTACCTTTTTTGGCTCAAGTCGAGCTAGTTGCTCGAGCTTGAAAAATTCCTCTTCTATCTCCTCCAGATAGACATGTTTCTTACACCACTTCAACACCTCGTCATAAGTTCGAGCTGGTGTTTTAACTAAAGAGCTTCGACAAGGACTAGCCCGAAAACTCATGATTAGACCACCCGCTTTAACCACATCTGAGGCCGATGGAATCTCCACACAAGCTTGATTGTACCTCGCCACGTACTTCCACAATGATTCTCCTTTCACTTGCCTCATTGCCATCAATGTCAGATACGTATTTTCCTGTGCGA